TCTCTCTTTTATTGGATAGCCATTGCTGCTGGCTAGCAGTACCGATTCCGGTACGCCTTTCATCCCTTGCCTGCTGGCTCTGGCTACCGCTGCCACTGCAGGCTACAAGGTACTACCTCCGTTCTAGAAAGAGTACAATTTTAGTACATTGTAGTGTTTTACTACCTTAAGTTTGACTAATTATAGATAAAAAGTATTAATATTTATGTTACTAAATAAATATTATTAAATTAATTACAAAATGAATTTTCATAATAAAATAATTTGAAGCCATAAATACGAATATTATTCACTAGTAATTTAGTTAAACGTGAACCACTTTTCATGGCACGCAACACATAATTACATTCTTTTCAGGACGGAGGTAGTATGTGAGCACACGTTATTCTATCCATCATAAATAAACGGATATCTCATTTCCTAAGAGCAACTTCAGCGGTACGTCGTACTTGACCCTCTACTCCTGATTTAGGTAGTGGAGATCAAAAAACCAACTTCAGCAGACCACCTACTACACCGCCACGTTTGTTAGCCTCCTACTTTTCTCCTTCCACCCTCTATTCCTATTGCCCCCTACTCCGTGCAAATCTAGATCAGAATTTTTCCTCCCCACGCTCGACTCAAGCGGCCTCCACCGCGGCTTCCATCACCCGGCCGCCGTCGGCGCCTCCGCCCCGGTCGCCTGCTCCACAGTCCCGACCATCCGTCCCGTGCGCCTCCCGTTCGCCGCCCCGTGCGCCTCCAGCCGGTCCCCCCGCTGCCCTGTCGATCTCCGTCCGCCCATGCCCAGGCAGGGCCTCCGCTACCCCATGTGCCTCCAGGAGCCCCAGTCGAACCGGCTCTCGCCGCCTCGTGCGCCTCCAGGAGCCCAGGCGACGTCCGTCCCCCGCCGCCATGTCCAACTCCGTCCGCCCAGGCGCCGCCGCCCCGTGCATCTGGCTCCGTCCGTCCCTGTTTGGCCCAGACCCCGACCGACGCTGACTACGCTGTGGTGCCGCTGGCACGTCCAACGCTGACGTAGCAGGTTGAACCTCCTCCTATGTCTACATATGAACTATTTTATGCAATGGATTTCTGTCCTAATTTATATGTTCTTTTCTTGTCGAATTAGATAGCATAGAGTAGAAGAATTGTGTCTGCGCAATGAGGGTTCAAATCACGGCACAGAAGATGGCAGAGTTCTCCCAAAGCCTTGTGGTTCCAGTGGTGGTAGCCGTGCTGCAAAATATGATGGTCTTGGTGGCTACACATCTATTTGAGTTGTGTTTTATTGTGTTCCAATTGTTGCACTTTGTGTCGTACTTTATTTAACTATGTTTGAACTTTGTAGTCTCCTATTTTGATTAATTATGTTCAAACTATGTGCTTTATTTGTGGTTCAAATATCTCTGGTTAAATTGTCATAGAGGTGCAACATAAATTTGTGAGAAAATAAAATAGGAGGTCTGTTTTAGGCAGTACTGCTGGAGACAATGGTAAAAAATGAGTAGTCTGATAATAGGGGCTACGTAAACAGAGACGTAGGGTCTGTTTTAGGTTGTCCTGCTGGAGATGCTCTAAGGCCCGACATAATCTATTTTCTCTTTGTGTTTCGCATCTCTCTCTCAAAAATATATTCCAATCCCGTGCTCATTCATTGCGTGCTGCTGCGTCGTCCGCTCGCTGCTGCCGTCTTCCCCGCCACGCACCCTATACCGCGCCGCGCAACTCCCCCATCTAGCGTTGTCCACTGGCTGCTACCGTCTTCCCCGCCGCTGAAAGCTCTAGTTTGGTTTTGGTTAATTGATGAAACCCTAAGTGCTAACCTAGTTTATCAAGATGATTATGAGATAGGTAGCACTACTTCAAGTGATGAAGCAATGACGAAGATCATGACAATGGTGATAGCATGGTGATGATCAAATGCTTGAACTTGGAAAAGAAGAAAGAGAAAAACAAAAGGCTCAAGGCAAAGGTATAAAATGTAGGAGCCATTTTATTTTAGTGATCAAGACACTTAGTGAGTGTGATCACATTTAGGATAGATAGCCGTACTATTAAGAGGAGTGTAACTCGTATCGAAATACGGTTATCAAAGTGCAACTAGATGCTCTAACTCATTGCATATGCATTTAGGATCTAGTGGAGGGCTAACACTCTTGAAAATATTTGTGAAAATATGCTAACACATGTGCACAAGGTGTTTGCAGGGTTGAGATGGGTTTGGGTCGGGATTCGGCGCTTTTGGGAAAATGAAATGTCTATTTTCTATTGCGCCGGATGCAAAATTCTTTGTGGTTGGCACATTTGAGCAAGGGTGAAGAAGTTAGAGTTGAAATGGAGTTGGTCGAAATGATGCTGGCGTCGGTTCATCGACCGGATATTTGAGTCACTCAATGACCGGACGGCTGAAAGGCTACGTCGTCGGCCGGTGTCGAGCAACCACGATGGGTAGGAGTTGAGCACCGGACGCCGGTCTGCGTCCGGTCAAGGTGGACGACGACGCGTCCGGCGAAAAAAAACATGCCTCGGGAGCTTATCGAAACGACCGACATTTGGGGCTTCAGCGTCCGGTCGGTTTTTGCCGAGCGTCCGGTCAGCTTCCGTAGCCGTTGAAATCGGCGAACAGCGTTTGAAGTGTGGTGACGTGGCGTCCATCCATCGGCGACCGAACGGCGAGGGGCTGGCGTCCGGTTGGTATGACCGAGTGTCCGATCGAGGCGTGTTTTGCCCGGTGTGAAGGGTACAACGGCTCTATTTGATGGGGGCTCTATTTATATCCCCATGGCCGGCTCAAGGGAAAGCTCTTGCACATTTTCATTGACATAGCAACCTTGTGAGCTTAGCCAAAGCCCTCCCACTCATCTCCATCATTGATCCATCATCATTGTGAGATTGAGAGATAATCCAAGTGCATTGCTTGAGTGATTGCATCTAGTGGCACTTGGTATTCGTGTTTGCTTCATGGATTTCACTTGTTTCTCTTGGTGGTTGCCACCACCTAGACAGTTGGAGCAGCGGTGAAGGATCGGCACGGGTTGGTGATTGTTCGTGGGCGCCGCCGGTGATTGTGAGGGAGTTGTACCTTCGGCCGGAGCGCCGAAAAGGTAACTCTAGTAAATTGCTCGTGTCATTGAGTTACCTCACTTGTGGGTCGGTTCTTGCGGTGTCCAATTGTGTGGACGAGGTTTGTGAAACACCTCTTAGCCGCCGAACCACCAAGTGTTGGTCGACACAACGGGGACGTAGCGTGTTGGCAAGCACATGAACCTCGGGAGAAAATCGATTGTCTCTCTTCTTTGTCATTCTCCCGGTGATTGGCTATATATTCATCTTGTGATTGATTCATCCCCTACACGTCGGTATAATCACTCTACTCACTCATTTGCATTCTTGCAAACTAGTTGATACAAGTTCTTTAGTGTAATTAGAATTGAGAGCTTGCTTTATTATTTACATTCATCTAGTTGAGCTCTTTAGAGTAGCAAGGTTGAGAGCTCTTAGTGAGTAATTACATAGCTAGTTTGTGTGCCTAAGTATTCATTGCAACTAGAATTGTTGGATAGGTGGCTTGCAACCTTTGTAAAGCTAGAGCAAGTTTGCATTACGCTATTTGTCATACTAATCAAATTGCTCTAGTTGATTTGTAGATTTTTAAATAGGCTATTCACCCCCCTCTAGCCATATTAGGACCTTTCAGCCGTGCACCCCAATCCGCGTTCGCAACTCCCCCATCTAGCGTCGTCCGCTTGCTGTTGTCGTCTTTCCCGCCGCACACCCCATCCCACGCCGCGCTCAACTCCCCATCCGGTAACAAGGCTCATATCCCATATTCACGCTTTTCGTCGCCGCTGGCGTCGCGCTTCCTTCTCCCACGCAGATCCAGCTCCATCCCCATGGCGCCCGCTCTAGCTTTCGCTGCTGTGTCGTTTCCGCCGCCGCGACGCCAGTGTCCCGCCCTCAGCGCAGGCCGAGGTGCTCTTGGGTCTTCTTGACACCGTCGTTCCCCACCAAAAGGTCGTGGCCGCCGCGACAAGCGACGCCAGCAAGGAGTTGCTGCGGTGAAAGCGCATGTTGCAAGTGTATGTTTTAGTTGTTTCAGATGTTTTTCAGAGGTGTGTTGCAATTGTTGCATATGTATGTTGCAAAAGTAGATCAGGGATGTTGCACATGTTGCATATGTTGCAAGTGTTTCAGATGCATGTTTCAAGTGTTTCAGAGGTGTTGTTCAAAATGTTTCATCTGTTTCTGATGTATGTTGCAAGGAAGATACTTATATGTTGTATTTCTATTATAGGGAAGCGAGTTAAAGCGCGTGCTATAAATTTGAGAGTAGAAAAATACTATAGAATCAATTTCTATCTCCCATCTTATGAATTTGAGATAAGTTTATATGTGAACTTAGGAAAGTTGTGGAATGTCAAATTCTAAGCTAAATAACTTAATCCGTTAAGTAGATTCCAATTCATACAAAATGAAAGGATTCAAATGGCTCTTTATAGATTTGATTATATTTATTGAAAATTCTAGTGCCAATATTTATACTATTTTATATATAAAATGAGGTAGTATGAAAATATCTTATACGATGAATATAACAATTATATTTACTAGTCATTTAGGTAGATACTAAAATGTTCATATAAATTTAATGAAACATATGATGGTGCGATCGAGCAGTTGATGATTTCTTTCACGAGACGGAGCGAGTAGCTATTTGCAGCCTCTGCTGGCGTTGACCTGGTCAAAGTAGAATAGCAATAACAAATGCAGCCTCCCATCTGGAGGGCCCACAACCGTGCATGCCGTGTAGCCTCTGGGCCATCATCATCCGTCAACCGTGCATGCTGCATGGTCGCCTGGTCGCTCGTCTTGGCCGCCGGGCAGCCATACGACTAGGAGGTCTCCTCATGCATGCATGCAAAAGCAAGCCAAGGTCTCGATCGACGAGCTCATCCCAACGACGAACGACGGACGGACCCGAGTCCCGAGCAAAGCAAGCAACGGATTGAATTGAATTCATGGCGGGGCCGGGTCTCCTCCTCCTCGCCGTCGACGTCGTGGCCCTGATCACGGTGATGCTCACCGCCTCCGCCCACCCGCAGGCGTCGCTGGACGACGACCTCATCCCCTCCTTCTCCTCCTCCGGCGCCGCCTATGGCGGCGCGGGGTCCCGGCGGCAACAGCACCGCGAGCAGCAGGATCAGCAACAGCACTACGACCACCACGTGCCGGCCGACGGCCCGCTGGTGGCGCACGAGTTCCTGCAGGCGCACAACGAGTTGCGGGCCAAGTACGGCGTGCCGCCGCTGCGCTGGAGCAGCAAGCTGGCGAGGTACGCGCGGCGGTGGTCGTCGCTGCGGCGCTTCGACTGCGTGATGATGCACTCGCCCAACTCGCCCTACGGGGAGAACGTCTTCTGGGGCACCGGCAGCGACTGGCGCGCCGCCGACGCCGTCAGAAGCTGGGCCACCGAGTCCTCCTACTTCGACTGGCGCGCGCAGGCGTGCTACCCGGGCGAGGTCTGCGGCCACTTCACGCAGCTCGTCTGGAACGACACCGAGTTCGTCGGATGTGGACGCTCCGAGTGCTTCGCCGGCGGCGTCTTCATCACCTGCTCCTACGACCCGCCGGGGAACTGGAAGGGAGAGGTGCCGCTCACCTAATCAACATCATCACTTCGCCTTGTTGAGCTATAGATCCATGAGCATGCATGATGCACCTATCGACGATCCACAATTATATTCCTAGCAGTAACTAATTGTGGTTCTTGAGCTCGTGTGCGTACATGACTATTCAGATACTCGATCGATCGATCGATGCGCGCCTGTACGCAGCACATACAAACACATGTATATGCAAAGTCAGGAATTCAACTGCTACTTGGTACATCACTCTGCGCGTGCAAAGTGCAATATCTGAGTATATAATTATATCACTACCCTTGAACCTGCAGCAATCACCGCGGGTTCAAAATCTACTTTCAATGCCGGATTTCGATCTGGCAGTGGACAATCAATATTTGACCTTGACATTTCATTGTCGTTTTCTCACCCGATAGTAATGTCCATTATTTTCATAAAAGAAAAAAAACAACGTCCCTGTCCTCCCCCCTACGTGTCGTTCCAGGGTGAGGCGTCTCTCGATTTGTCGGCCCCGCATCGCTAGGCCTTTGTGCTGGGGCCCCGAGCCATGGGACCTTGGGACGTCAGGCCTCGAGCAATCGGGGCCCATGCCGCTGGGACCTTGCACTGGCGGCCCCCGTGCCACGAGCACTCACAACATTGGGCCTTTACCAAGTGCTTATCTTGAAGTTTTTTGAACTAAAACCCTAGGAGAAAAACCCCCTCGACGTTTGAAGTTAAAGGGGATATTTACCTTGGAGAGTTTAGACATAAAATTGTTGTAGGGTCTTTTTTGTTTTTGCCAACAAAAAGCAAATTAGAGAGTTATTTTAAGGAGCTCTTGCCGTTGATGTTCTTCCTAGATAGCATCACCCTAAAGAAAGGAAACTTTATTTAATTACAAAATGTTGACTCAACACATATGTAAGAACTGTTGAATCAACAACTCCAGCGTTATCAATTTCGGTACTCTAATTTTTTCGACCACTCCCAAAATTACCAAAACTCGCAAAATTTCATCGGAATCATAAACAAATTTCTAGAGACTTGAATAGTATATATGTTTTTTCTAAGAATTTAGGTCTAAACATATTAGCTTGATTTATGACTACACATGAGTAGAAGAATGCATAATATAAACATTAGAAAATATAAGTCTAGAATTATATATTTATAGTAAAGCATGTATATTAGCGTAATATGAAATTTCAGATTTTTTTTCTTTCAACCACCCAAAATTACCAAAATTTGTGAAATTTCAATGAAATTTTTTGAACCTTGCTATGAACAAGTCACCCTAAAATGATATTTTAGGGGGCTTTCTTTCCATTTTTGGCCCGCCCATTTCTGGCCGGGGTGGGCTTTTAATTTGCTTCTTTGATGCCTCACATGGTACATGTTGGCTGCTGGTGGGCTGACATATCACATATGTTTCGACTTTTCTATTTCTTCTTCTTTTTCTTTCCTTCACGTTCGTGTTGATTAGGGGTGAAAATGGTACGGATATTTTTCGACCGTATTCAAGACCGAATCTATTTAGAGGGGTTCAGATCTGTCCGAATCTGAGTCCAAATATTCAACATCTGATACCGTATCCATATCCGAATAATCAAATTGCATATTTATGATATCGATATCCAATTGTATCATATCCCAGCATTGGTTGACAATATCCGTATTCGAATTCGAATCCGGATAGAAATATGAAAACAAATGTAATATCAGTGATATCCGTTCGTATCCGATCCGTTTTCATCCATAGTGTTAATGCTTTCTTTTTTTAGTAAAAGAAAAGAGGTATCTATCTCAATTGTTGTCCCATTTAATTATGTTTTTATCTTCTTTTACAAATCATACAGTCTCCTCTTTGTAGTATTTTTAATATTTATGTAGCGAATTATATCTTTATATGATCACTAAGGGCTCCCTGCCAGAGTCACAAACACATTGTTCTTCACTATAGCGCAGAACTCTTTTTATTTCTCCATTGCAAAATGAACTAGCAACAGGTGAAGCCAGTAAAACCCGTGAAAGTAGCTTCGACTGGCTCTCGCTACAGTGTAGCCACACTACATGAGCTAAAGCCAGCAGGATCCGCACCAAATAGGGCCTAAATCTTGTTCTTTTATGCTCATATATCCACATTTTTCTCACAGTAAAACAACATTCGACTATGTTGGTACTTTCTTTATCCCAAATTATAAGTCATTCTAATTTTTTTTGGAGAGTCAACGTATCTCAAGTTTGACAAAAATTATATCTTGAATTACAAAAATTTAAGACATTAAATAGGCATACTATGAAAATAAAATTAATGAAGAATCTAATAATTCTTATTTGGTATCATCAATGGTATTATTTTATTTTATAAATTTGGCCAAACTTGAGATGGTTTGATTCTCCAATAAATTTGGAATGACTTATAATTGAGGACGGAGGGAGTATCTACAAATATTTTCAGTTAATTGCGTTTGTTGGTAAAATGTAATTTAATTGAATAAAAGTCTGCTATTCACATGTACTGCGGTCTATTTTAACTTTGCTCCACCGGATAAAATAAAACAGGGAGTCTGAAATGCAAGCGAATTGAAGAATCAGACAATTTTGAAATTGCTTTGCCAATTACGGTGCAGAGCAGAGCAATTTCGAAGGATTTTCGTTGCGCCTTCTGGTAAGGATTTTAGTGAGGCTTAGGGAGTGTTGGGCACGGCTCCTCTGAGGGGCTCCTTCGGAGGAGCCAGAAATGTTTGGCAGGTTCCCACGGCTCATTCAGAAAAACGTTTGGCAAGCTCCTCTGGAGGAGCCAGAGCCTCCGGAGGAGGCAGGAGGAGAGAAAAGCCCGCCAAAGCAAATGGAGCGCATGGTTTTTACAGAGTAAAGTCTAAGTTGAGGCTTGAGAGATCATGGCTCTGTTCATTTGGTTAAGCGATGGTTTTTACACGGGGTTTGATTTTTTTGAGAGAGAAAAACATTAGCAGGTCTAAGTTGAGGCTTGAGAGATCATGCAGGGACACGCTAAAAATTGACACCAATGACAGAGAACCGGAAGCACACGACAGCAACGAGTAGGCATTATCAACTGATCCCAGTCAAGAATATCGTATATTTATTGAGTATATATCAGAGACAGAGGCACAGTATGTATATAATTGGATATGCATGGGGTTTATTTCTTTTCTACTAGCAACCAACCATGGAGTAATATCAGACAGGCCTAGTAATCATATCATACGAACGGTAAGGTAACAAAAGAATAATAACAAGATGAATGGATGAGATGGGACCCCGGCCCCTTACTCCTCCCTCTATACAATGAAGAAACGAGGCCCATCGCACCATCACCCGTCGGATTAGTATTATTAGATTAGATAATAATAATACTCAGCAGGCTCCTTAATACGATGACGGACTGACTATATATAACATATATATATGACGAATCACTAATAATGGTACTAGTAAGTATATATAGGCTGCTCCTGCTGCTCAGTTTGCTGCTTGCTACTACTGCAGGATAGATGGATGGGTGATTCAGTTGCTCTTGTCGGGTGATCCAGCATAGCCGTAGGGGTTCTTGCTTGCCCAATTCCACAGATCTCTGCACATCTCCTCGACCCCATACTTTGCCCTGCAAGATTTCATATTGTTCTCGTTAGGAATTTAGGATCGAAGCGATGCCATGCTGAACCCATCAACCAGCACCAGCCAGCAGCCACCAGCAGCATACTTACTTCCATTTGAGCTCTTTCTCTGCCTTGGCAGTTGCCGCGTAGACGATCTCTGCGTCTCCAGGCCTTCGCCCAGCAAGCATCAGAGGGATTTTCTGTATAGGCAGAATCAGCCCGTCAGTCAATCAGTTGGTCGGGAATCAATCAATGTATAGTAACTGAACATCATTCAGCAAAGACAAGCATGCATGATGGTTTAAATATATGAACTTCTACCTTCCCAGAAACCTTCTCGAATGCAGCCACCATTTCCAACACTGATGTCCCCTTTCCTGTCCCCAGATTGTATACCTCACACCCTGCATGCATTACAACCAACAGATTAGTATATTTTATCATTAGCAAGCTTCATCTGTTTGCTTGAATACGCAACAGCTGAGTTGTCTGTTGTAATTTAGAATTAACAACAACTGGGAGCCAGTGGTGAAGTAGCAAGAATCTTTCTTGTTTACCTATTTTGTCGGAGTCTTCATAGAGCTTCCTCAGGGCTGCTATGTGGCCATCAGCCAGGTCAACAACATGGATGTAATCACGCACCTGCCAGTTTTATATAGATTTTTTTTTTCAGTAACGAGCTGAATTTCTGAACTCCCTACCCTAATAAGTACATAGCATTAGACAATAACAGAGCAGCAGCAAGCAATAGAGTACGCACGTACCCCAGTTCCATCCTTTGTGTTGTAGTCGGTTCCATAGACCGTGAGGTGAGACTTGCTGAACATAGGGCATCAGGTTGTTTGGGACACCGCAGGGGTCTTCGCCGATGTATCCGCTTGGATGAGCACCAACAGGGTTGAAGTACCTGAGCAGTATAATCTTCCAATCAGGGTCTGAACGTTGGACATCGCGGCAGATATCTTCAATCATAAGCTGCATCATATAATATGTATTAATAGATGATCATTAATAAACCACAGAAAGCAGTATTGGTCCAAGATTTTTTTAAGAACAAAAGGAACCTTGGTCCGTCCATAAGGGTTGGTGGTGCAAAGCGGGAATTCTTCAGTGCATGGCACTTCCTTGGGCCACCCATAGACAGTTGCAGATGATGAAAACACCAGCTTTGATGACAAGGAAACAAACCAGTTAGCTTCCAGACACAATGATGCATACATTACTCAGGCTCCTGATGTATTAATGCGAGATAATGAATCTAAGTTGAAATGACAAATGAGGGCTCAAGTACTATGAACAATTATGTGCTTGTAGCAAGGATGGTCATTTTGCAGTTCCTGGCCCGCATTTGACCAGAAAAAAAAAATCATCGCAGAACATTTGACCCAAGGAGCCAGAAAACGCTAGACGAACGGATGGCCAGGACATAAGCAGCAGAATCTGGGACCATGACATTGAATTTTTTTTTGTCACGGATGGCATGCATGCGTGCATGGCTTCTCCATGACATAAATTTACAATAAAGTTTGCTGGCAGACAACAATAAAAGGGCAGGAGCACCTGGTCCAGAAGCAAGCTAGGACACCGGTATGGTATCCTGTGAGCCCCAGCAAGGCAAATGCAGATGCAACGGAAAGTAGGCGGCGTCAACAAAAGCAAGTTGTAAAGCAAAAAAACACGAGTGAGTGCCCGAAATTGCACGGCCAGCCAGAGAAGATGGCTTGGTCGATCCGTCTGGAACAAGAAACAAGTATGTTGTTACCTTCTTGCAGCCATGTGCAGCCATCACCTCAAGAAGGGTGATGGTGCCGATGAGAGGTTGTTGTCGTAGTAAAGCAGAGGCTTGTGCACGCTCTCGCCGACAGCTTTGAGCCCAGCAAAGTGAACGACAGCCTCAAACCTGCAGCCACAGTTGGAAGTGGGCGTGTGAACAACAACAGGGAACAAAGGGAAACTGACGATATTTCGATGACCAACAACAGCTGCCCCGGTGGTGCCGAGAAATTGATCAAACAGACAAACGAGCTAAGGTGAGCTGTGAATGAATCAAGACATGCAGCACAAGAACTCGACGGAAACAGCTTGCTTTCCAGCAGGGCTGGAACCTTAGACTAAATCCAATTATATTTTATTGACACCTATGGGAATGCAAGCAAAGCAAAGCGGTAGATTCGGCAGGCAGGTACAGCTGACAGTTAACTGTGGTAATAATATAGTACTAATATAAAACTAGTGGCATAGTACTATACAATAAAACTAACAGCAGAGGTGAATAAGGCCTTGTTTAGATTAGTTTTTTTTTTAACCTACATTTAATAGACATTCATTTGTATTTGACAAACTTTATCCGATCATGATGGAGAAAGAGTGAAATCTCTTGAAATTTAGATGACATCTAAACAATTTTTAGACTAAATCCAATTATATTTTATTGACCAAAAATTGGAATGAAGAGAAAGCAAAGCTGGAATTTTGAGGCAATCTAAACGTAGGTGTGATTAGTTAGTTTTTTTTGTGGTAATTTAATATAGTACTAATATAAAACTATGTGGAGATAGTAAAAAATACAATAAAATCTAAACAGCAGAGAACTACGAGTACTGCAAATCATTAATGGTTGGTTTGAATCCCAACTCAACTCCCAAGTGGCGCCGGCCAAGGTGCAGAGTGATTGTTGTCAACCACGACTGACTCTGGACTCATCGAAGCTAGTTTCAGTTGAGGGTGCTTTAGTATTTAGCATCCGAAGTACAGTACGTACTCCGAATGTGTTGCGGGAGGGAGCATTATTACAGAGCTAGTCCTACTACAAGTGAAGGTAGTAAAATGGAAGGGGACAGCAGCGTTGTGGGTTACAGTACCTGTGGGACGAGAAGATGTCCTCCAGAGCGTGCCTGTCGCGAAGGTCAACCTGCAGTGCAGGGGGGCACAGGCATTATTTATTTTATTTATTATGTTATGATGAGAAGTCCAGTTTAAGTCTACTCGTATAGTTTAGCGCACATAATGCAGGACATACATATAGTTTATTTACTGACTGCGACTGCTCTTTGGATTTGACGAATGGATGAAAGAATGAATGGAACCATGCAGATGCAGAAGAGGCAGGATGGGAGGCGCACGACGTGCTCCGTCCGTAGGTACTAAATCCAGGGCGGGGAGGACAATGTTATCAATTCATTCAAGGCGCTAATCACGCACGCAGCAATCAAGAATGCCATGGATTTGGAACGGAAGTCATGATTGGAGTTAGGTGAGGTTCAGGTTGAATTCAGGTTTGGCTGCGCGCACGAGTGGTGGAAATTCATTGAGGCCACGTTTAGTTGGTCACCAAGTTGGCCCCGACTGATTTCGCGAAGCACTGTAGCTACAGTAACTTGTTCGTTTTTATTTAGTAATAATTGTCCAAACATTGACTAATTAGGCTCAAAACGTTCGTCTCGTAAAGTACAACCAAACTGTGCAATTAGTTTTTTTATTTCGTCAACATTAAGTACTCCATACATGTACCACAAGTTTGATGTGACGGGGAATCTTCTTTTTGCATAGTGTCAAAGTTGGTATTTTGGAGGGCCTGAATTGAACACAAGTAGTAGCAGCTAGGGTAGTACATGGCTGACCACCGGACCTATTCTGCCGACCTGGTCCGTGGTCAGACGACCAACATGCAGGCACCACACCAGCGCTAGTTTGCCTTGTTTCCTCTGGGAAATGAAATCGGTGTTTTTGCGGGTCGCGATGTGGTTGATACGTTGGATCGATCGGCAAATGATAAACTACGGAAGCACAAGCAACCTAACTGCATGATCATCTAATCGTGGCCATGTCTACGTGAGTCGTCCGCGCGGGGGTAACTGTGAAGATTCATCATCATTTTTCAGCAAGGAAAAAGGGAGCTTGGCTTGGAACCAGGCAAAACAAGGAAGCAGCAAAGCAGGTATTCCGTGTAGAGTAGTATTCGCGAGGGGAAGGAAGGAAGCGACGCGTATGCTGTGGTGTGGCACGCATCTCATCTCTCACATGGCCGCGGCTTGCCTGTTGGCTGCTGGCCTTCCCTCCCAACCCACAAAAAAAGAAGAAGGGAATTGCACCCCTCACCTCACCTCACCCGGTGAGCCCCTGCCCTGCCTCCCCTTGCTGCTGCTACATGAAAGTAATACAGGAGAACGATGGGTGGCGTGACCCACCCACCTCAACCCCTACCCCGATAACGGCCATGGACTGACAGCTTAGAGCTCGCTGTGCACTGCTCTGTTGTAAACCCAAGCCATCAAGCAGCAGCCACTAGGGACGGATGATGGATGCTAGTAGTAGAATAGAAGAAAATAGTCCTCTCTGTCTCCGTGTGTGTGTGTGTTGATGTTGGCAGGAAATCAAATCAAATTATGAATGAAAATAAAAACTATACTCTACTAGGCAGGCAGGTTCAGGCTCAGAGGCTGCGGATGGGAAGGAAAGAATGATTGATATTAAACAAATAATGGAATGGAAAGGAAGGGAATCGAATCCCATGCATCCCAGCAATGCAATCGACGAGAATCCACTGATTCTTTCTTCTGTCTGTCGAGTCGAGAGGCGAACATCCAATCCAATCCAAACAACGGAAACTAAAATCCATCTCAGTAAGATACCGGCAGCAGCAGCACAGCACAGCGGGAGGGTGATGAGATGACAAGCCAAGAGGATGAAATCAGCCAGGCAATGGAATTTGGAATTCGCAGGATGGATGGATACCTACCTTGTGGAAGACGAGGTTGTTGGCGCCGTTGTGGCCGGCGAGCTCGGCGACGCGGACGAGGGCGACCTCGGAGGCGTTGTCGAGGTTGTCGACGACGACGACGCGGAAGCCCTGTTGCAGCAGCTGCAGCACCGTGTGGCTGCCGATGTACCCGGCACCGCCCGTCACCAGGATGGTCCGGAGCACGGCGGACACCATCGTCGTCCCCTTCCTTACTTTTTGCTTCCTACCTTCCTTCCTTCCTCGGATGGGATTGGGATGCCTCGCCTCGCCTGCTAATTAACTTAGTCCTACTCAAATCTCCTCTTCTCCACTTTGGAGAGGATTGAGAGGTATGGGCGGCGACCGGCGGAAGAGCCGGCGTTGACGATTGTGTTGGGTATCAGAGAATGAAGGAACGGATGAAACCCCGATCGGCTAGACTAGACTGCACTGCCGTGTCCGTGTAGCTTTGCTGTAGGAAGGGGGAGGACTGCAGGCAGGAGCATGCTGCTACTGCTATGGGGATGGTTTTGCTTGGCAAACCGCTCCCCCCTCCAGCCTCCAGGCCATGCCCCGGCCACCCGGCGGATCGAGGCCTTCCTTTCTTTCTTCATTTATTTATTATTTACTTATTAATTAGTCTCCTCTCTTTATAGTTAACTGTATCTTACTTTGTTTATCTTAAAAAAACAGAAATGTTATACAACATACGTGTTTAAAAAAAACACATGGATTTTTCTCACCGGTGACCACCGGCCCCGGCGCCGGCGACCGGCGAGCTCGCCCCGGCGCCCGCGCCCGTGCCCGGCGCGCCTCCCCGCACCCACGCCGGCCATGGCAGTGGCGGTGGTGGCGGTGGCGGCGCCCGCGCCCGTGCCGGCCATGGCAGTGGCGGTGGCGGCGGCGGCGGCGAATCTGTGATTTGTCCTTCCATAGAAAAAAATTATGATATGTGATCTGTGGAGGCTGGAGGCTAGAGGTAGAAGAAGGGTGAAGACGGTTGGATCTTAATCCTATGGTGCAAAAAAAATTTCATGTGTTAAAACTACATAAAACACATGATTGTGTAGTAGACAGACTCACTGGAAAAAGAACACCTACTAAATACTTCATATTTAACCATATACTATAATCACAATAATTATGACTAGACTGGTCATGAAATATTTTTTTTGTCACAAAACTATTCGAAGGTTCCCAATCATAAGTCATTCTATTTTTTTTAAATCAAAGCATCTCACCAAATTTATATTTTTCTATTAGTTATATTTTTTATAGTATCTCTATTTGATATCATAAATCTTTATAAATTTCTCTATAATTTTTTATCAAACTTGAAATGCTTTGACTTTCTAAAAAAGTTTGAATGACTTATGGTTGGGCGCGTACGAATGCCCGCACAGCCCGCCCCAATCCGCCATCGCCCCACCCTCATCCGGATTCGCCCTGTCCCACGCGCGCACTCTGCCCCCGTATATGCGTCCGCCGGTCGTTTCCCAGACCCACTCCTCTATCTCCGTGCGGGTGGCACTCGAGAGCCTGGACCCGGCGTGCCCCCGATCGGAGCACCCGTCCGCCCGCCCCAATCCGCCATCGCCCCACCCTCGTTCGGATTCGCCCCGCCCCACACACGCATTCTGCCCCCGTATATGCGTCCGTCCGTCGTTCACCAGACCCACTCCTCTATCTTCGTGTGGGCGGCACTCGAGAGCCGGGACCTGGCGTGCCCTCGATCGGAGCACCCGTCCGCCCCGCCCCAGCCCCGTCTGCACACCCCTCCCCCCCGCGCACCGTCCTCCTGCCCCCAATTCGCCCCAGACGAACAACATAAAACACTTGCAACATGAAAAAAATTAAATGCAACATACGTCTAAAAACAAATATAACACTTGGAACACGCATTTGCAACATGTGTGTGGACACACATGAAACGTTCAGAAAAAATAACACTTGCAACATGCAACATGAAACTATTTGCTGCAACATAAGACTGAAACATTTTGGAACATACTGATGCAACATCTGTGTGAAACATATGCAACATCCAGATAAAAATGATTGCAACATACGTCTGGAAACTGATGAAACATTTTGAACAAACGCTTGCAACATGCATTTAAAATACTTGCAACATCCCCCGATCTACTTTTGCAACATTAAAATGAAACAATTGCAACATACATCTGAAACGTATAAAATATTTGAAGCATACATATGTAACATAGGGAAGGGAAAGACTGGGGCTGGTCGATTGAAGCCGCCGAGGCCAAGCCGAAGAAGCTGAAGTGCAAGGCCATGAAAGCACCATCGCCACCAATGAGCTTGCTTTTGGCCATGGGGGCGACTAGCACTAGCGGTAGCTGCTGGCACCATCGCCGCCAAAGACCACCAAAGATCGGTCCTGGCTCACCGGGAGGGTGACGTGTGACAAGTGAGCGAGCACCACCTGAACCAGCGCACGCGATCTGAGGGGGCGAGCGAGCGGCGCGGATAGGGGGTGCGTGGCGGCAGCGTGGTAGCCGCAAGGCGATGTGGTGGAGATGATGGAGTGGAAGGGATAAGAAGTTTTTTTTCTATTTTTTTGGAACGGTCGGGGACAAGGGCGAGTGGATGAGCAGTCATTGGACGTGTCGCGGCCCACCATAGCACCGTCCGAGCAGACGGACCTACTATATCCAGCATTACCGTTTATGGTTTAGAACGTAGGGAGTATAAAAATAATTACACTTAGGATTCTCACACGACTACTCGGGAAAACGAGACTTAATTGTTTTTTTGACCCAGCGGAGTACAAGATGATACCATTATTGCTTTTAGAAGAAATCAAATAACTTTTAGATTTAACCAAATCAACTAATAACATTCTTATAATAATAATACAAAATAAGTATTGTCGATTATTTATAGAAGGTATTTTTATAGTAACAAGTGTATTTGGAGACATAATTTGTTAATAACACTAATAATTCCTATCCATTAAACTTGATTTTTTCCAAATAAAAAAAAAGAATTTCCGGTTATTTAGCCGGAAAGGCGTGCAGACTGCAGAGTCGAGAGTGGCAGAGGGCCCAGCACCCAGCAGGGGGCGGGCGGAGGATTCGGCGCTCCCGGCACACATTCCGGAAGAAGTGGCACGCAGACTTTTCTCCCTTTCTTCCGCGGTTCCACTTCCATATTCTATTCGATGCGCGCTGCCAGGTCACCCCCGTTCTCGCCTCGTCTCGTCTGGTCCGTCCAAGTGTACGTATATCCAGTCACGCTTCCCCCCGGTATCAAGTGAAGAATATCCAACCCCCACCAACAGAGTCCATCCATTTTGCAACAAATAAAATAAAATAGCTCTACTGACCAATATATGGTAATATGCTTATTACAAAATATGTTTCATTATCTATGCCTAATAATAATAAAGAGGCAAAATTTTAGTTTATTTTTTGATCCATCCATTTTTTTGTCCGTCTCCCTCTAACTACCGGATAATAACCCGTGCTCATATACTAGTTAGAATACCTCTTGCCTAACGCGATACGGAGTGCGATTTCAAAACGTATTAGATCGTGTATGTGACCTGAACTCTCTAAGCTGTGCTCATGTGTTCCTCAGTCACCTTGTTCTAATACTTTTTGGATCTGATACAAGGTTACTGTGAGTTCAAATAGGAGTGCGTGGTGCTATTTGTTTTTCCTATTCTTTCTTTTCTGCGAGACTGATGCGACTTCTAAACTGTTTATTATGAATAGTTTTTTATTTCAGTGTTTTTTGTTTTTCATTTTACATGTGCTTTTTTCACGTAATCAGAACATGGTACAGTTAGAACAGGCTTGAGACCGATCCCAAAGAGCCCCCGCGCCAACCCACGTTCACTCCGTTCCTTTTCCGTGATGTTTTTTTTTGTTAGTTTCCGTTGACTGTCCACCGGTTCCTTCTTCTATTTCTTCTTTTATTTTCCAAAGAATATATTAAAAATAAAGAAATTCTTTTATTTTCCAAAAATATAAATTAAAATAAATAATAAATGCAACATTATAAACCTTGGACACCTTGATCCCTATCCCTATATCTAAGAAATAAATGTTGCTACCATCAAGTTGTTGATATAATTTTCATTAAGAACAAAACTTATATTGTTAGAGTATGGTTCAGTCAATGGTCTAAATAATCAAACTATAAATTGAAATTGAAATCTTGAGCAGTTTGCTTAGTGTAATCTATACCTATATATAATAATAAAGAGGCAAAATTTTTCCTCATTTTTTGTTTGGCCTTTCTCTAACTAACTTTGTGAATGTTGAAATAATTGTTTCTTTTCACATCCACGCGTTCAAATATATAAAGCTTTTTTGAGTAATCTAAATAGGAATCATGATAAAAAAAATATAAAAGGAATAAGAGTATAAATCTATCCCGCTTCCACACGTCCCTGAACTTTTGATCTCGATTCCGCTTCGACCAGCACAGTCCGTCCTTTTACCGTCTCCCTCTCTATGTTTTCTTATTTTCCCATAAATGAAAACAAATAATCTATTTATAACAGGGCCGTCGTATCAACAAATACTCTATCAAACGGGAGCTGCCCGTTTCTCCGCGTGGTTGTTGGTCACGTACTCATCGCACTACTATACTACGGACATAACTATACGAATTATCTAAACCAGGTCGAATCAAACCAATAGGATAAAAACTATAGATTTTGTGACCAAATAATAAAGGTCTAGAATAATTTAAGCAACCCATGCTAGATACAATGAAGGTTTACGTTTGTAACTCGCTAGGATCATCGATAACATGTTCAAATAGCCGGCACCACATGTTTTGATTGTAATGAAAAATTTATGACCTAGGTCAAGGTTCACAAACATATTTAGGGGCCGTTTGGCAGGGCTCTGCGAGCGGCTCCGGCTCCGGCTCCTGCCGAAGCCCTGCCAAACACCGATGAGTAAATCAGCTCCGCTGCCGAAGCCGCAAGGGAGCCAGAGCATTTCTTGTGCTGCGCGGACAGAGCCCCAAAACCGAGCTTCTCCCGGCTCCTCGTCCATCCGCGAGTGAAAAGACATGGAGGCCACGGCGACGTGAGCGCGTGGCAGCGGTGGCGAGGCCATGGGCGTCGCGGGCGCCGCCCTGCGAAGAGCTAGCAACACAGAAAGAGGAGGATCTGCTAGCAAGGATAGGAGAAAAGATAGGGTTCCCAATGTAAAAATATAAGAGAAAAAGAAAAC